TGTTGGCTATCCTTCAGAATGTTATTTGCATCCAGGTAATCTACCATTGGATTATAGCTTCCATTCTTTTTCCAGTAATGCTAGTTAAACTGATTGGCCTATAGTTTGCTGGATTACTTCTATCCCCTTTTTTGAATATGGGTGTTATATTAGCATGCTTCCAATCTGAAGGTACCGTACCCGCAGATAATGATTTGTGGAATATTAAAGTTAAAGGTTGGCTAATAATATCCCTCATCTCTTTTAAAACTATAGGTAAGATGCCATGCCATCAGGGCCCTGCGATTTATTTATTTTGAGTTTAGCTAGGCTTAGTACCACATCAGCCTCAGTTATACATATATTGGTCATAGACAACGCTGTATTCGTACTAATTGGTGGTAAGTTACTTGTGAAAAATACGCTACTCTACTGTGAACACCTGTGAAAAATAATCATTAAACTCATTTACTATATCAATTTCATTTTCAATAAGGCCCATACTATCCTGCAAATTAATGATTCCAGCTTTTAGAGCTCTTTTGGAGTTAAAATATTGGAAGAAACTTTTATTGTGATCCTTAGCCTCCAATGCAATTTTTCTTTCTACATCCGTCTTGGATAGTCTAATGTTATTTTTTAACTCTACCTGTAGACTTAGATACTCCTGCTTAATTTTGAAATCATTAGTTATTTTCCAATTGTGGAACAGAGCCCTTTTCATCCTGACTTTATTCTTAATTTCCTTAGTAAACCACCTTGGTTGTCGTTTCCTAGATTTAGTTTTGCTGGAAACAGGTATGAAGTCCTCTTGAACTTGCAACAATGTGCTTTTGAAAAATTCCCATGCCTCTTCAACCGTTTTGCTATTTAACTCCATCCAGTTTACAGTTTCTAGTTTCAGTCTCATACCATTAAAGTTAGCCTTCCTAACATTGTATACTTTTAATTTCGACTTTGCTCTTCGGACACTAAAATTAACCTCGAATTTAATCAGGTTAACATCTAAACAGATTAAAGCTGCATAGCCTAAAGATGGCCGTGAAGCCATCACTGAAGCCACGTATCATAATGAACACTGTAATGCTTCACGTTAGCACTGAATATGGATCGCTCCGAGACACACTGCTAATGTGTCAGGGTCTTGATGCTGTCAGTCGTCATTTCCTGCTTTAATCCATCCCACAGTCAACAGGAAATTATTAGAAATCATATCATATCAGAGAATCTTATGAGAAGATGCTAACTGCAGTTTTGAGGAAGAGACATGATCGTACAGCAATGTAGGTCATGGGAAGATGCATTTATCTAAAGTCATATAAATGTCTTATTTGCCATTGGCACTATTACATTTGAATGCTTCTCTTCACCTACCCCATCTTGCTCTCCATAGCTTGGGGGGGGGGGGGACATCGCAAGGGGCCCGCCCAGGGGGGGGGGGGGGGGGGGGTCATAGCACAGGGCCAGCCAACGTGTGGAGAGGCTGAGGCTCGAACTAGCGACCTTCTGATCACTGGGTCTGGCTTAGCCTGCTGAGCCTCTCGCCGCCTATTTAGCCCACTTAAAAAGCATAGTTTTTAAAAAATATAAGCTCTTAGCAGGCATGATTCCTAATTACGCAGTGTGTCTAACCTACTGTACCATGACTAATCTGTAAATAAAGGCCTTTGAACCTGTGTTTATTCACTTCTGCCCTGGCTAGCAACACGTGAAAACCAGCACACTGCCACAAAACTCATTTTGTGCTCATCGGTCTACCAGTTTTGTTTCAGTATGCTTCAGTGACTAATTCATTTTAATCATACCAATATTAAAGTACCCAAAAAGATACCAAATACTGGCTTGGAGACTGCTAAATGACTCCAGGAAAGGGAAGCACAGAATTGGCAGACATTTTGTGTTCCACAGCTCACTAAGCTGCACTGCTTCAGCAGTTTGCACACATACATTGGGAGTGACACTGTGTTTTTAATTAACCCTTTAAATAACGCCATTGTCTTGAGGACAAAGCCAGGAGGAAGAATTACTGATTAATGATATACTTCCCAGGTTCTAAGACTATTTTTGTGTTTAATACATGATATGATGCATGTAAATGTTAGCATTATTAGTAGCATTGACTGTATGGTCAGGATGCATTGCAGACAAAGTAATAATGCAATGAACTGCATAGTCCAACCAAGCTAATATGCCACAACATAAACTGTGATGCATTATTCCAAACCAGCTGCTAGTCACTGCCACTAAAAACACACACATGTACCCCATTAAGCATAGAATGCTTACCGGTTAGGTGAGTGTCTTGGTCAGGTAGTTCCGTTGGAGACCTACTGTATGACCTAGCATACATGATGTATGTATGAAGTGTATGCATGTGAATGAAAATACGTGCTGAATCAGAATTCAAAACTGAGTGTTTCAAACCTATTTTTTATTTATCTTAATTGAAATGGTAATTTTTTTATTGACCAGTTATTTTACTTGATTTATTCACCTATATTTGTGTATTATATAATTGTAGGAATTATTTACATCTGTTTTGGATTGTACCATTTGCTTATAAATGTATTACACGTTAAAATGTTTGGTTACATGTTCGGCTTCCTGAAAACTGCAATTTTGTATTCGGCCATATAGAGGAGCATGATTTAATACAGCCCTCTAGAGCACATAGTAAAAAATGCACTTAAGTCAGTGGCACAATGTGCTTAAGGGTCAATTACATGCCACAAGCCTACATTTTGCTGTTTCTCCACCCAAAGTGCGTATCTAGCCTAAGTGCACTTAAATCTCACACTTAAGTCGATGAGTGAAAACGCTTAAGCCAGAAAAGTACATAGCTACACGCTTATTTTGACTTAAGTGCATTGTGAGAAATGGCACCTCGGCGATTATCAGGCAAGAAGTCAACATTAATAAAATCATACACTTTCTATACCACATAATGCGGTATGTCATTGGTAGACTTGTACCAATGACAAGACCGCCTAAACCAAAACCAAGACACTACCAAGACGAGAGGGTATCGAGACCAAGACAAGACCAAGACTAAAACCAAGACAGTCAAGACCAAGACAAAGTTGAGACAAGACCAAGGCCGAGACCAAGACTGGAAAAAAAAAAGACTCCCTTAACTTTTGTGTGCTGTTGAGGACTGACATGACAGGTACTGACTGGTCCCAAAGTCTTCTGACAAAACAGCTAACACCTCCAACAACTGTCTAAAGAATGGGAAATATGTAACTGATTTCAATTATACTTAATTTGTAGATAAAATTGTAACATCAAATTGAAGATAAACAATTAGAAACTTGAAATTGCATCATGTCCCATTGTAGTAGTACTAGCCAAATGACACTGTATGATATCAACTGCCCTGAAATGGATTAGGCCAGTTAAGTCAACACCACGTGATATGCAGATGTTATTTGAAATCCAATGGTCACATTTATTTAGTCAACACCATTTTAAGTAAAATACTGTAATCAAACAATATAAAGACGTGTGCACATGTCACATGAATCAAATGCAAACTACAAATACTATATACCAATGCAAACTGCACATCAAATTGTGCATTAATAAAAATAAGGACAAGTGCTTAAAAGATTCTGACATCTTGATGTCTGCAGTGGCATGTGATTACAACACACTGCCAATGATATCAAGCCTGTTGTTCAATAGGGCAAGAACAATAGAACACAGAAATTATGGACAAATAACAGATTGATAAACTAATACAGATAGATGAAATACTTAAAAACAAAGAGAACGAGAGCATCACTGTTAATAGGCATATTTTCAGAGAGGAGGGAGAGAGAGAAAACAGTTCACAGATAAAATAGTGGTTGATTGCACTTCAGGAAAACTAAAGATTGCAACATCTTATAGCCTGTGATGGTGGATCTAACGTTTAACTAGCGCTACACTTATTTTGCGCTTATAACGCATATTTTGATTGGATGAGTGGCAATGTCTGAATCACAACAAAATGCATGTATATCATTGATTGGTTGCATTTGAAGGGCGCGAAAGGCAAAATAATAATAATGTTGCATTATCGAACGTTACGTTATGTGTCATGGATACTTTTCGCTCCAAATCTCCCGACCACTATGTCGATCTGAGACAGCAAGACCAAGACAGCGAGACCAAGACAAGACCGAGGGATCCGAGACCAAGACAAGACCAAGACCGTTGAGACTGTGACAAGACCAAGACCACGTAAAAGTGGTCTCGAGACCAAGACCGGTCTCAAGACATCCAGCTCTAGTCATTGGTCATGAGAGGCTGTTCATCAGTTCATATAATACTTAAACAATCTAGGAAAAGTCCGGTGCTATCCACTTAATAATTATATTGTTATTTCAATCAATTAATCAACTGATTAATTTCTTTCCGCGATATTTTGTTTTTCAGGATATTCTATTAGTGTACTGTGTAGTTTTGAATTTGTTTACTCCACGTCTTACGCCCATGTGTGCTCCTGTATCCGTGGGACTCTCCCTCTGGAATCAATGACGTTGATCTTTTCCCATATTATCTGCGGCAGAAAGGCCCGCCTCACCTTTCCCCACGTGGTCGCACACAGCAGCCCCGTGTTCCTGCTGGCGAACGTGCAGTCAAACCCTCTTCTGTGCAGAATCAAAGCTGCCTCCTCCGACGGGCCAGGTCCCTCCTAGCAGGAAGGGGGGAGGGGAGGAAGAGAGCAAGAGGAAGAGATCATGCTTCGAGCGGGCGGACAGACAGATGCATCTCTGTGCCAACACGGCCCTGAACACTGGGCCGCCTGTGAGCGCCACTCTTTCAGGGCTCAGCTGTGGACTTAGAGTTGGCCAAGAGCGTCGATCAAGAGTGTCGGCGGCAGTGAGAGGTTACTGCCGTTCAGCCGGTGCTCATTCACAGAGACGCGCCGCTTAGAAACACCTACGCTGCATCGGCACGCACACCAACGGTCTCCCGCTTCAGCTTCCTTAACGTTTTGTTTGCATTCATATGCAGGGGCACAGGAACCAGGGAGAGGGGAGCAAATACCCCCCCATACCTAATTTAGCTTCGATCATCGCAACCCTTTGCATTTTAATTATTTGAATCCCCCCCAATAACAAACGCTCCCCAACATGCTAATTCATACTTGAATATTACTTTGCATTTATGTAGCTTTACCTAAATTACATGCACCACGGCTACATGGTTATATATTATCATTTCCTGCCTCCAAAATGACTATGCCTTTACGCTTGTATTTTGTTTGTATTTATGTAGCTATAGCTATGTTATAATTTTACAATTTGCAAACAATTACCAATTATGGATTAGCTAAGCTCCCGCATTCATGTGTGTAATCGCAGGCTGATGCATTCCCTCTCTTTCATATTTCAGACATTCCTGGCAAAGGTTAAGCACCATTATCTTTAGAGGTGAGGCTCTTGGCCCAGTTTTAAAGGGATACAGGTTTGTGCTGCATCCGCACTGCATTCCAGCATAGAAGCCCAGGCTGTGATCAGAACTTTACACTGCCAATTAAAATGCATTACTGTAATCCAGTAGGGCTGGGGGCCTCACTCAGCCCCAGGTCTGCACCCCCAAGCCCCAGGACACTCGAACAGCAAAAACCTTACCCCAGCCTGGATAGTGCGCAGATTCACCAGGTGGATGTCGCAGGGCAGCGATGACCTGAGTGGCCTGTAGGGGGCAGTGTGCAGGTGGCCGTAAGACAGCCCGACAGCCATGGGGATGACGGGGTGGTTCAGGAACATCGAGGAGATGTGGCTCAGCAGAGACGGGAAGCTGGATGGACGGACTTGTTCCCTCTGAGAGATAGAGTGAGATCGGAGTTTAGGGTGACAGCTCAGATTACAACCCTTAAAAATGCATGATGCTAAAAATTTTTGAGAAATTAATGTTCATGTAGCTGCTGTGCCATTGAAAAGAAGGTTGTTGGTTTAAATCCCAGGGTTAGCAGGGTGATGTCACTGTTGGGCCCCGGAGCTCCTAATTGCTCCAGGGCCCAGAGTGAGGCCCTTAACCCCCAATTGCTCCAGGGACTGTCTGACCCTGTTTTCTCAAAAAATGTACATCACTTTGGATAAGAGTATCTGCTAAATAATAAAAAAAAAAAAAATCATACATAAATACTTCAATCATTAAACTAACTTCAATTGAGCAAATATATGTATTGATTGACTCAGATCATTTCAAAGGCTGTACATACAGTAGCTTGTGTCTCCAGCCTAATGGGAGGTTACATTTTTGCATGAGTTCTAGAGGGGATTCTACACATGACTGGAGTTCAAAATGAAATGCTTATTGCCCTAATCAGTCTGACATTGCTTTGGATAATCCTCTTGAAAAGGGCAAGCAGAAATAACATTTGGGTAATTGACAGTGACTTATGGACACCGTGAAGTTGACAAAAACCTCGCCAACATGTCATATGCAGCATGGATAATTTCTGACAGGACTTTTACTTATTTAGCACATAAAGAAGGTTAACCGCAGAACCAGCAGCAATGCACCAAACATATACCCAACTTACTATGTTCACGTTTCATTCTCAGATCCCCCTGTAATTATTTGGGCTGAAATGTGAATTCAAAAGCAGAGTGAAATTTCACTGAGCCGTATTTTTTATGAATAATTTTAATATGCTGATACTGTACCTGCAGAAACGAGCAACATAACTTGATTTGAGAGTCAGTCAGGAATTCAACTGCACTAATTACAAGCTATAATTTGACTAATCAATTATCACATGACATGCTTAATACCTTTTGTACCACATATGAAGATACTTCTTACAATATTAAACCAGCAAAGCCATTAAAATGGCTTAGTTACCTTCAAATTTGATGATAACCATGAAGTCTCAATCATGGAGTACATAAATAGCGAGATGTTCCTTCAAACTACACGACTTTTAGGGCAATTTTAGAATTTTTTTGAAGGTGGCGGCACATAAGAGGGGCCATAATTCCTACAAAAGGGGCCAACTTTATCATTTGCCAAAGATATGTTTTGAATCAGAGAGTGACAGAGGAGGGGTACTCCAGGAGCCAATCAGCTTTCAATTGGGGCCCTATGGTCCCCAGCTCAATACATGCTCCTGACTCCCAGTGTAAGCGTAGAGGGACATGGGGAGGCTACCGCATCGGATGAGCTCCTCCTCTCCAGTAGCAGCCGGAAGGTGTTCGCCGTGATCTTGTTGTCCTGGACACCTTGGCCCAGGCCACGATTGTCATCCTGCATGAGGCGCCGGTCCATGATGACCTCCAGCTGACCTGGGTGGGAGAAACCGGGCCAGTGGATAATGGGGGGCGGTTTGTAGGTTTGCAGCATTTGCAGCTTTGGTTACCTTGGTTACAGAGTTGCCGTGTCACCATTTATCTTATTACCCTTGACAGTTTTTAACTTTCTTCCAGAATTATTACAAATATATCACAGGTCAAACTTGTGAAAAATGGAAGAAAAAAAAAACGATATTAGAATATTCATTCCTGATTTCCAAGTTTTTATGAACTAGATGCTATTTCACTAAATGACATTCACTGACATTAACAGCCAAGCTATAGCGCTAACTTATACAAACCATTTTTTAAGCTTGCTACCCCCAGAGACTGGGCCGTGAGGAGGGTGAGCCGGAGATGCTCATCCTGAATGTAGCTTGTGGTGGTCATGGGGTAGAAGTTTGCCTGTAGTGGGAGTTTTGCCATCATCCTTCTCGGCTGGATCTGTAATGAGTCAGAATCAAGAGTCCAGCTCATTTAAAAGGTGTGAATGAAAAGATGTGGACAGCGAGCGCTAATGGTTTTAAAAACAACACAACAGATGGCTACAGGACTAGTTAATAAGCCACACTTTTTTATTTTAGAAAGAAAAAAAAATAAACTTTTTTTTCTATGGGAAGCTAAATCACAGAACTACACCAGATGTACTCCAACCCCCATCCATTAAAAAAAAAATAAAATAAATTTAAGCCCAAAAAGAACCTAACCTGAAAAATATCTTTGGAGGGAAAAACACTTTTCAGCAGCTAAGCACAGACTGAACTTCCTGTACCGACCAAGAACTGTTTTCAAATATACATTACAGTGTGTGTGTGTGTGTGTCTGTGTGTGCGTGTGTCTTCATTGGCGAACCATTTTTAAGGTAAATTTGCCCATATTGGCCATATGGGTGTAGTAAACGTCACTTGACAAAAGCAGATGGAATAAAATCTCACATTTAGTTGGTACTCACCTAGTCTCAGGGTCACATTATGGTACATTACCATAACACTGCATTACACAAATACAATATAAATAATACTATGCCTTCAAATAAAGTAACACCACAAATAATCCTGTTTTTACACAAATAACATTTTGAGGGATAGCCAGCATGGATTTAGGAGAGGTAGATCCTGTTTAACAAATCTGTTTGAGTTCTTTGAGGAAGCTACAAGTGAAATTGATCACAAAAAGGCCTACGATGTGATCTACTTAGATTTCCAGAAGGTCTTTGATGTTGTCCCCCACAAACGGCTCTTGCTAAAGCTCAAAGCTGCTGAGATTTTAGGAACTGTGGCTAGGAACTGTGGATCGAAAACTGGTTAACTGACAAGAAGCAGCGAGTAGTTATTAGAAGCACAATGTCACAGTGGGCCTGCGTTCATAGTGGGGTACCGCAGGGTTCAATTTTAGGACCACTATTGTTCCTAATTTACATAAATGATATAGACACCAATATTTACAGTAAACTGGAGAAATTTGCAGATGACACCAAGGTGGGTGGTGTAGCAGATACCGAACTTGCGGCTCAGCAGCTACAGCGGGATCTTGATTTAATTAGTGACTGGGCCGATACCTGGCAGATGAAATTTAACATAGACAAATGTAAGGTACTCCATGTAGGGAGCAGAAATATAAAGTACAGGTATTTTATGGGACCTACTGAAATAAGGGTAGCTGATTATGAGAAAGACCTTTGTGTGTATGTTGATGCTTCCATGTCTCATTCTCGCCAGTGCGGGGAAGCAATAAAAAAGGCCAATAGGATGTTGGGGTATATCTCCAGGTGTGTGGAGTTTAAGTCAAGGGAGGTAATGCTAAGATTATACAATTCCTTGGTGAGACCTCACCTAGAATATTGTGTGCAGGTTTGGTCACCATATCTTAAAAAGGACATTGCGGCCTTAGAAAAGGTGCAGCGTAGGGCCACAAGAATGATTCCTGGTCTTAGAGGAATGTCATACGAGGAAAGCTTAGTTGAGCTAAATCTGTTCAGCCTCAAGCAAAGGAGACTGTGGGGGGACATGATCCAGGTCTATAAGATTCTAACAGGTTTGGATGCTGTTCAACCAAATAGTTACTTTAGCATTAGTTCAAATACAAGAACTCGTGGCCATAGGTGGAAATTAGGTTTTCAAACTGGATTTAAGGAAGCACTTCTTTACACAGCATGTAGTCAGAGTACGTAATAGTCTTCCTGATAACACAGTGCAAGCTGAATGTTTGGGTTCCTTTAAATCAGAGCCAGATAAGATTTTAACAACTCTGAGCTATTAGTTAAGTTCTCCCCAAGCGAGCTCGATGGGCCGAATGGCCTCCTCTCATTTGTATAGTTCTTATGTTATTATGTTCTTATCAGACCTGAAGGGCTATGTACAATAAGGTGCAGATAACTTGCTTGCACGGTCTAAGGGTTTTCCAGACTATTGACATAGTCAGCCCCGCTGATAAAGTGATGTTTCATTATACACCCTGAAATACATCTAAAATAACAAAACAACTGGGCCTATTAATCAGATAGACGCTTTTATCCTAAGCAATGCACACGTGTGGCTGATAATACATCAGCGGCATATGGCTGTCAATGAGCAACCGGTCCAGCTTGGGTGAAAAGGGGCCAGAGTTCCAGCAAACAGCCGAATGACAGGTACCTCCGAACAGCATTCTGATCGGGCTAATCCACACTAATCATGCTTCAGCAGCGGCGAGCACAGAGGCAGGCGCCAGGGGACAAAGACTTCGCCCGCGCTCATTCACAGGGGGTCCGGAAACAGGCATGAATGGGGAGGGGGACTAAAAAGAGCAAGAAAAAAGGCAAGAGGGTGGCAGGCAGCCATTTCTCAGGCTGCCCGTGGAAGTACGGGGGAGGCCCAGGTTTCCATTTTGACCAGTCATGGAGACAAGTAAAGGTATCAGTCGCAGCCGCACCAGGAATGTCGGGAGGTGGAAATGAGGATTGCCTTAAGGTGCGTCATTCAGCCGACGACGTCCTTTTTACGGTTTATACATCTTCAATAACCCCGAGAGCAATTTCCCATATTCAGGCAGCAGTTTTATGTAAATAAATGTGCCAAAATTAAAAGTACAGAAGTCTGGTCATTCCTCTCAATTACGGCAGGGTTCCCTCCAGTGGAGCACAGAGCGGGGGGGAACAAAATGTTTTGCGTTTTCAACTGACATACAGGTAGTAATTTCGCAAATTACATAACACACTTTTCAGCTGAGTTAAGCCCAGACAGACAAACGTAATTAATCAGCCTTGATGATGGGCATCAGTGTCTCCCTATCAGTACATTTAAAACCCCCATCTGTTTTTCAGATTTCAGTGGAAAAACAAACAAACAGCCTCTTTTGAACAAGTACAACAGTGTTCCCAGCAGAAGAGTGGGGAGAAAATGCATTATATATTAAAAAGAAAGTGAAACAATTATGCTGTATTTCACCAAACAATGCCTCTAAAATTACATCCCCCTCCATCACAGCTTAAAGTAGCTATTAAACTGTATCAGATTTATAATTTAATGTGTAGTAATGACTCACATTTACCCAGACCGTTACAATGAAACCACACAAAAGGGAGCCAAATCCCATTCAGACATGTTTTTACAACATACGTTGTATCATATTCACAATCCAAAAAACACCATGGACAGGACTATGTAAACTGACCGGGCAGTTAGAACTGCTAACGACATGGCTAAACTCGTTACATGGAAACAACTTAACCCATCTCTACTTTAATCTTGAAAATTAATCAGGACACAGAAATATTATGCACTGAACACCTTGAAACCTTAAACCTTAGAGATTACAACACAGATATTTCCCATAGATAAATTTTTAAAAACTGTTGATGACTAAAAATACACAGGTTAGTCAGTTGCATGGGATTAATTCATCTACTGCTGATCTACATCTGATCTTACTAGAATAGATCACACCTTTCTTTAGAAACTGAGATTTTGTCCAACTGTGTTTTCAGGCTGCTCAAGGACAGAGTGTTAAATTAGAAACATTAAGAGCACATGGGAAATCAAGACGAGTCAAAACTTCCACGGGTTCTTTTTTAATCTTGCTGCTTAAATCTAGAAGCAGTGGCACAAATGAGGAAAATACATTTGGGACTCCAGTATTATTGGTTTTTTTCATTTGCTGACAAGCCAGTACACAAGTGGGATACAGATTTACTGCGTGCACAGGTCGCTCACAAGCAGCACAGTTCCAGCGGACTGTAAACTCAGATGAACCTGCTCAGACGTACGTCACTTTGGACAAAAAAAAAAATCTGTGAAACAGGTAATTGTAGCGTGGCAGGCAAGAGGGATCAGGTGCGTCCCCTTAAATATATCAGGAATGCACAGAATCCCACAGGTGTGTTTAACTGGCTGAAAACCAGGCACAAAATTGTAACTTTACCCCGCATATGGATAAATGCCTCCCACCCTCCGATTGTACATTGTGGGACACATTTGACCCAGTTAAAGTGTGCATTGGTTCACCAAAATGGAACAATGGATGATTGGAAAAATGTTGCCTGGTCAGATGAGTCTCGATTTCTGCTGCGAGATCCAGATGGTAGGGTGAGAATTTGCCATAAACAGCATGAAAGCATGGATCCATCCTGCCTTGTATCAACAATTCAGGCTGGTAGTGGTGGGGCAATGGTGTGTGGGGATATTTTCTTAGCACGCTTTGGGGCCCCAGAGTATCAGTTTAGCATTGTTTAAACACCAGAGCCTACCTGAGTATTGTTGCTGACCATGTCCATTCCTTCATGACAACAGTGTACCCAGCAGAATTCTAACGGCTACTTCCAGCAGGATAAGCTCATATCATCTCAGACTGATTTCTTCAACATGACAATGAGTTCACCGTACTAATTTGGCCTCCACAGTCACCAGATCCCAATCCAAGAGAGCACCCACAGGATGTGGTGGAATGGGAGATTTGCATCATGAATGGGCAGCCAACAAGTCTGCAGCACCTGCGTGATGCTATCATGTCAACATGGACCAAAGTCCCTGAAGAATGCTTCAAGCACCTTGCTGAATCTATGACACAAAGAATTAAGGCAAAAGGGGGTCCAACCGGTTACTAGCAAAGTGTACCTAAGAAAGAAGCCAGTGAGTGAGTGAGTCTATATAATTATATATGAAGAGAGAGATGGTGAATGATGGGACCCCAATACTCTCTTACTAGCAGAACTGTAGACTACAGCTTAAGCCATATGAGAAAGCAGCTTTATAGGTATTTATGTCCGTTTCAAAAGGAATGATCCATCTATCCATCCAGCCATCCCCCCATCCCAGGGCTGCAGTGAGCTGGAAGGGGATTCCCAGGACCAGAGAGCATGAATCAATAGGGAATCTATAGGGAAAGAAACAGGAACACACCAAAAGGTGCCGGAATCCGTGACCTACCTGGTAACCATTAAGGTCTGTAAAGAATCGATCACTGCTGTTCAGGTCTGATGTTATCCTCATCGCGATTTCACGGTTAAACTCTCCGCGTATGTCCACCGTGTTGGAGATCTCCACAGACTGGCCTTCCACACCTACAAATTGACAGCAACAGCAACTGAGAGAGCCTGTGGAAGCAACCTGAAATGGCATCTCAATACTCCGAAGACTTGAGGAAGGACATGTATAGGAAATGGGGCAAGCACATCTCAAACCCCTTAGTGGTGTTTACAACTACTTACACCCTGATTGGCCACCCACATTAACTACACTGAATATTAAATAAACGTGTTCTGTATTTAGGAAATGATGAAGCATTAGGTTCTACTAACCAGCTAGCTAGCTACAATCATCTGGTTACTCGCTAGCTAGGTATTTCATGTTTGAAACATGGCGGGGGTTAAAGGCCTTGCTCAAAGGCCAAATGCTACTCGGACGAGCATGGGATTCAAACCAGCAACCTTCAGTCTGGCAGAGAGGCCTAACTTGCTGAAGCATTCTTCTTGGCCTCGGGCCATCTTTCACCGCTATCTAGGTCAAGAGATAGACCTACAATAGTTATCACAGATCTTTGGCTTCTGCCCCACCATCGATGCAGTTGAGAAGTGACAGCCCTCCCAAGGGAGACGATAGTGATCATCTTTCACAATGAGGCAGCCCGGCGCACACAAGCGAGTCACTTTAACATTAGGGTATTCGCCGGACGGTCAGTCGGTCAGATGGCTTGTATTGGGGAAAATATTCCCTGGTGTACTAATGACTGGGTATCCTGTCACGTCAAAGCCTCGGGACCACATCACTCACTCAGGGTAAGTCCCTTACGGAGCAGGCAATGTGATTAACGGGAAATGCTGCAGTAGTCGGACACTCATAAAAGCCAGTGACTTTTCTCCATCCATTTTCACTTCTGATTATTACAAAAAGTGAAACTGTCTTTGTCTTCGCAGTGTTTCATAGATAAAAAGCATTTGGGTTCTTTATTGACAAAGGCCTCATTTTGAGTCCTGATCATATCTGAACTTGTTGTTCTTCATGTACATTAAGCAGTGAGCAGGCAGTGAATGGCTCTGTGGGCTAAGCCTCAGTGCCTATGATTGGAAAGTTGCAGGTTCAAGCCATGGCCTTGGTAGAATAGTCACATGTCTGTGGTCCCTTGTGCAAGGCCCCTAACCTTCTGCCCCAGGGCAATGCACACTGGCGGACCCTGTACTGTGACCCCCAAGCTTGCTCTCACCTGTATGTGTCTAATGGAGAGCAAGATGGGGTAGGCAAAGAGAAGCATTGCAATGTAGTTGCACAAATGGCAAATAAAGGATCATTTATTTAGTCTAGTGTTTCCAAACCAGTCGTCGGGAATCCACATACAGTCCATGTTTTTGCTTCCTCCCAGCTCCGGCACTGTCTGGCAGGCAGCCATGAGGAAGTAAAAACATGGACCAGCTGTGAGTCCACAAGAACTGGACTAGGAAACCCAGCTGCGCTCACTATGGTGCCAGGATTGCAGGCAGCTAAACAACTCCCACCTTACAGCCAGCATGAACTAATATTTATGAAAGTGGACGTTTGGATTGATGGTAGTGGGTTGGGGGGTATCTGGGACACAACTGGGATCAACTTCTTGCCATTTCCAACTTGAAAGAATGAGGAAGCATAATCACTTCAGGCCATCCTGAACGCAGCTTAATCAAAGTTAGTGGTTCCTTGTTATATTACAATACAAAACGGCAAATGTCTATCAATGTCAGCAACTGCAGGCCACAAACAAAACCTGCATGTAAAATCTTATAAGGTGAGGAGTAAGAAGAGCAAATACTGAAAATTCCACTAAAAAACCCATCCTGACATCAAAATGTACATCAAAAAGTACAAGAGTTGTATGATAATGTTGCATAAACAAACTCTTATTTCTGACCGACATTATGCTAGCTAGATAAAATCCCAATGCTTAATTTAAAACTTAGTTAAATAATGCAATTACTGAGACGAGTGAACGACAGAAATGGTGATTGAAAGATCCGCTCCTGGGCCTTTCTACAGTTCCATAATTTCGGTTTAGTTGCCATGGCAACAGGTCAAGGGCCACGCCCTCTTTAGTTTCCAGGCGCAGGTGGCGCCTGTAACATTAAAGCGGCCTCATTGTCCTCGATCAGCCCGCCCCCCCCCTCCCCCCAACCACGTGCCAACCTCTCTAAATGGAGAAAGCACGGGCAGCCCTATCAGATGGCCCCGCCTCTAGTCATTCAGCACACCCCTGCACACAAGACGCAGACAGGCGCCTGCCGGCACGGAAACCTCAGCCACGACCGCCACCGTGCTGATGGAAAGTGCTGTCACGGCCCCCCGCACTGTGGGCCACACAATACGCATACAGAGCACAGAGTTTCAGGAGAGTATCCCGTTTCACTGGGTTATTCCCCAGAGATAGGAAACTCCAGATCCCCGGTGGCCAGCGCCTACAGGTTCCTGGAGCCTTACACCGAAGCCATCATAACGTTAGTGTGTAGTGTGTGCCTCAATATTGACTGACTGAGCAGTTGTGCCCAGCTGGGGGCCCCCAAGGACCGAAAATCTCTGGCTTTGGTTGATATATTTACACACATTTACAAACATGCTATAACGTTTGTGAAGGCATTATAATGTTCCCTATTTCTGCATAAATATGACCTCAATCATGCAAGTCTTAAAACTAGATAAAAAGTACCCAATTAAATAAATGACACAAAAACAATTACAGTTATTGCTACACAAGGGGGTCACTGACAGCAATTACTTGACAGTTCATGTACTTTCACACAAATATGAAACACTGGATCATTTTCCACACTAAATCAAGTTACAAGTATGATTATTTTGTGCCATTTGTTTTACTTTTTCGATTTATTTATACAAAAATAGAGAAAACTCAAACTTTGTAGCACCAGTGTACATTTAGGTCCAAAGGTGATGTTTTCTTTCAAAGCGCCTTGAATTTAACCCCTTCGGAAATGTACGGTGCTCAAGCACACTACAGCAAAACCACTCTTGGGACTAGAACCAGCAACATTCAGGGTTCAAGATATTATTCATCGTGCTACCAGCATTACAATTCAGCCTCACTGCTACACCAGACCCCGCTGGATGGTGCACTCTCCACCACAGGACTGGTAAATTTTCCATGAGGAGCCAAAGGCTGGAAATCAACTGCTTCCATTCCAAAATGGATCACGCACCTCTTGAAACAACGTCAGGAATAGTGTTCAGTCCCACTAGAACTTTACCACGTCACATCACCATAGAGACCGCGTTTGGCTTCCTGGGGCCAGTGTGCCACATGGTAACAGAACAGACAATGGGGCACATGCTAATGCAACATCTTTGATGTCTTCAAGTTTCAGCTGAAAGTCAATGTGCAACCTTCGACAGGATGCGCAGTCATCTATCCATCCAACCATCCATGGTTATACACTCATCCTCAGGACAGTTCAAGCACACAAGTACTGCAGTTGAGTTAATGAAAACATACTGTACAGACACGACACATACAGCCAGCTGTAGAGCCCAGGTTATTTTAGAGTCTGGTTTTTAGAATTTCCAGACCATTCCAGGAAATGCCCCAGCCATGTTTTCAGACAGTGATTAAAAAGTCACCTTGTATGTTATTGAGGCGGAGACTGTGAGTCACATGTTCGAACACGGTCGTCACTTCAGAGAAGATGGCTCCTCTGGTCACCCTTATCACAGGAGGGCGCTTGGGAGAGTATTCCTGAAGGGACAGAGCAAGACAGCAAGTCAAAGCTGCAGAGGAAGCTCAACACTATCTTTTACAACTGGGTGGCACAGGGAAATTAGCAAGGCAAATTATCCATGCACCCATCCAACCACAATTCCATCCATCCATCAAGCTGCTACAACACTGCCAATTGCTTCAGACAGCGTGGCAGTGAGCCTGGACCCCAACAAGCAGGAAGCAGAGGGCGAGGTCAAGGTGAGAGCAGCTTCACAAAGACGGCGTCATACAGCCATGGTGAGCAAAGGCCGCTCACTGCCAGAGCCTGATTACCTTGGCCTCACCATCGGGCAGAAACAGGTAGGCTCCGCTCTTATCCCTGTTGCTGGTGGTTCCATACCACACAAAGGCCAGTCTCACCTCCTGTTTGACACCACCTTCCTTGGACTGCAGCCTCTGAAAGATATGGGAGTCAAATGATAAAGCTTTCACATGAAAACCGCTCAGGCGGCCTTTCCCACATATGAACTTTCTACCAAAGGAGACTCTTGGTTGTAGCTACAAACACACATATGCTTTATGCAGCTGACTGTGCTAAATATAGCAGAAGAAAATGAAGCAGTTAGTGTCCAGCCAGCAGAGTTTGGCACATTTCGAGTGCAATTTGTCCTCTCAGTCCAGTAATTTATTCAGTAACAGATCTACACTGTAGTTTGTAGAAAAGGAGAATAAGGCACCATTATCCCCCATAACAGCAGGGTATGAGATCCACACATCTTTTGTTTTTAATATCATATTAGGAATTAAAAAATGAGGAGTTTTGAGGTCACCTCCATCAAACCCGACATTGAGGAGCACCAAATCTTCAGGAAGGAGTTCTCGATTGTGAACGTTGTGGAGTCTCCCGGCAGCACATTGACCCTGAACTGCCCAGTGCCTGCCACAGACATGTCGCCACCCTGCTGGTAGAAGGTGTAGCTGGCTGGCGCAGTCCTGACCTCAGGTGCTTCACTGAGGTGGTACAGCGACAGGCCCAATGGAGATGTGTGGGCCACGAAGGAGAGCTGGGCACAGGGGGAAGAGGTAGATCATGACTGAGTGAGGGAGCAAAACCCCCAGCAACTGTTCAGGGGAGGGTGGGGGTTAAACAACCTTTATATCAATACAATGAATATTTTCTGAATGAATATTAATGCGTGCAGTTTCTTTAAGTATTTATTTAATGCTATAGTGATTGTTGTGTTGTACGCATTCATGTTGTTTATGGTTATACAGAGGCAGTTAGTAAAAATCTGTTGTACTTGTGTAAAACACTTGCACAATAACATATAAAAATCCTTTATGCTTAAAAGAATAACCCAAACATGGCTGATCAATGCTGCCTATATGACTGTACCTACTGTGTATGCCTGGAAGCTGCATCTATTTAATTGAGCCCATCCGTAGGCCGGGACGCAGTGGATGACGATCAGCTCACCTGGTAGGCCTCGCTGGAGGCCTGGGTGGGTTCCTCCCACACTGCGCTGACCTGAGCAGTGACTGCGTGCCCAGCGGCCGTCTGGACTCGCACCTGTGGGGTGTTCACGTAAACGGTGACCACGGTCAAGCGTTCCTGCTCTGTGGGGTTGTAGACGACCAAGACCCTGAGGCAGACAGGGACACACTTCAGAACAATGGCATTCAGAGCTTGCAAATAAAAGAAATGAAAAGAAATCCACACAGACAACCATTTGCTGTCATGACACCAGACAGACGAGGTTTTCGGGTAAATCCAGGACACCATCTAAGCTAACAATCATACAAGTTTCCAGTCAGACATTTACATGCACAAGGCCGACATACAGGCAGGTTTGCCCCCTGGATCTGAGGGGAATAAAATTTACCTTGAGATGTCACTCAGCTTCAGGACAGTCTTGCGAGGCAAAGCGTCTTGAGCCGGCTGAATGTCATCCTACACATCCCCAGCACACATTAGCTAAGAGTTAATTTTATGTCATTTTATACTTTTTAAACACACAACAGCTAAGGCTATTTTCAGGTAAACATGAAAATAATGTCTTAAGGTGCAAACGTGTAAGCCAGATGTGTAGTAACCATCGTATATGCGTTGGGAGAGGTGGGGTCAACATCCTTCTGACCAATCAGATTTGACAATTCAAAAACATGCAACACTTTGGTGGAACCAACCTTAGTACTGCATCACATCAGATTGAAATGAAAATCAGTAGTATTGCCCATCCCTACTGTTTACTTCTGTGTAGGGTGACCTGTGGTCTGTACTACAAAGCGGGGTTAGTGGCTTATCGGGGTAACTTGTCAGATTTAAGGTAGTCTGGGCAAAATGTAAGTAAACGAATATTAAGTCCATTTAAACTGTGGTACCTTAAATCCGACAAGTTACCCTGATAAGCCAGTAACCCCGCTTTGTAGTATAGACCACAGGTGACCATTCAGACAATAAGTGGCTGCAAATAGTGGGATCCAATCAGGGAAGGGCCATGTGACCAGTACGGACCAATTAGGGTACTTTTGCAGTCTGATTTCATAAGTCTGTTTTCATTCGTCCACACTGCAACACTAAAATGTTTTCAGAAGCTTGTTGTGAGAGTGTTTACAAAAGTAGTGTCCGCATTTAAAGGAAAACATAGCAGTGTAGACGTAACATAAGCACATGGACACATTTCCTGTGCATATTTAACTGTTAAACCCTGTGGGAGTTTTACACAGAACCCAAGGTGCTGTTCCTCTTTGAGCCGATAGTTACCATTTGAAGGAATGGCACGGATGGCTGATGGCTGTACTCCCCTTTGTTCTTCAGCACCAGCCAATGGGCCGAGTTCACCATTATGTGCTTCAGATTCAGGATGGAGTGAAACAGCCTGAAGGAAAAAAGGGTGGGGAGGGGGTTGAGAAACCTGTACAGTCCCATGTGCATGAAATATTTGCATATTATCAGACGAGAGACACAAGCAGAGAAACTGCCAAGGCCCCAACCGTACTGGCTGTACGGCAGCTCAGATTGAGCCACTGATTAAAAAAAGAATAAAATGTCTGGCAGTTTCTGCTGAGGAAAAAAAGAAAAGAAAATGTCTTTAGCTTGAGGCCACTGGAGAGACATAGCACTGTTTAGCTCTAGCTTTTAGCATCAAGGCGACATCAATGGGCATACAGCATGGAAACAGCTAACATCGCAGAACACATGAATACACAAAAATCACCTACCGGCCAACATTAGATTCAAGGCAAGCCAAAATGGTTCTCTTTAATTACTCTCTAGGGGTAAAAGTAAGTTCATTAGAGCCTCTACGGAAAGAAATGAGCTCAGCAGGAAGGAGGATCTCATCAACGTGACAAAGTTGCAATGGGGATGATGGAAGGGATGGGGTCGAACGGACCCAAAGGCGTCGTCGAGGGCACACCCATCGCTAAAATGACCAAACGAGGCGGTTTAAGTAGCCGTTTGATCCCCAGCGTGTCCCAATTTAAAAATCGATAATCTCATTAATTGCACTTCATTAGGCCACCCTGCACAGTGGGCCGGTCTCGACTGGGACTCCGCGCCCCTCATTAAACCCTCGACATGCCTCATTAAACAGGCAATGAATCCCAACTGACCCAACAAAGACAGGAATGCCAATCTGAAAGAAGAAATTCGGCATTTCAAGCAGCTGCAAAGTTAATACACGCGGCTTAATGAGTGGCTGATTGAACGGGCTGGGAAGAGGTTCATTTCGCTATATATTCAAATACTAAGAGGTGTTTGCGGATTTAACTGCTCGTATTGGTGGTGGGAACATTAGTTAATTCAACTATGAAAATTCACTTTCAAACATAGACTTCCATTAAAAAAATAAAAATACAGTGGTACCGAAGTTCTCAAACTCATTAGAACTCAAATTTCTTAAAAGTCAAACCAACCAGTTCGAATTTTTTTTTTTTTACCTAGAACGCAATCTGAATCTCTTAAGTCGAACCATGAAAGCAGACCTAAGATAACTTGTACACATGGAGAAATGAGTCACGCGGCACGTCTCTCAGCGTAAACAAAGGGTAACGCTTCAGTCTCAGCCTCACATTCACTGTGATAGCATCGTGCATGTTTACACTAGCTGAATACATATATTTAAAATACATTTAAACCCAGTAAAAATACATTTAGACAATGATAGACAGTAACAGTAATTATTATATAATAAAATACATTTAAAAATAAAGATTTCTTATTATTTTAATATTATTAATAATAAACCATTAATATATTTAATTATAATAATATTGTCGTGCTGAGAGGGGACGGAACGGAGACAAAAGGTGCAGACATCAGGGTATTGGGGAATACGGGGTTTAATTACAGGTAAGGCAGGCAAAACGCAGATGGACAATACAATGACCGGACTGGGGAAACAAACTGAAACATGGACTAAATACAGAGGGCTAATGAAAACAACCAGAAACAGCTGATCACACGGGGATCCCACACAGGGTTAACGAGGGGGCGTGGCACACGGAAGGAGCAGAGATCGGGGCAGGACATATTGTTTTGGTTTTTTTTTACTTTACACATTGTTTGGATACATTTATTTTCTTACTTTACAAATTACTGTTTTGATAAATGTGCTTAGATGTGTTTAGTACAGTATATGTTCTTCTTGTTTTATCCTGTTCAAACCAATTACTTGGTTTTCCATTATTTCTTATGGGGAAAATTTGATCAGAACTTGAACTTTTTAGGATTCAAACCCGAGTTCTGAAAAGATTAAGTTTGAGTTCCGAGGTACCACTGTATATAAATATCACATGTAAACATCCAAGCACAAATTATCTTCATCAGTAGGACACAAGTTCATTCTTCGGCCCAAGAGCAGTAGGCTAAGGACAGCTAATTAAACATCAAGATGACAGAACTCGCCATCAGCTTAACGGTGCACCAAAACTGCAAAACCAAAACAGACAAAGCTGAAAATGTCATTATTAAAACAAACCCAGGGGATCTGTGGTCAGATATTAACCAAGATCATCTAACAAGAAGCTATGGATAGTCTGTGCTCTACAGAGAGAATTGGCAGAGTAAACGTGCTGCTTCACGCTGCTCTCGGCCTTTGAGGCGCATGTGCAACAACAGGCTGATTAACAAGCATATTAGGAGTTGCTGGTCTCCAAGCCTCCTTCAGAGACCATGATTGCGTTACATTGGCTTTTTTGGTTGCCCTTCCTTTCTCAGGAAGCCACCGCTTCACTCTGTACTTATTTAAAAAGCAAAAAGATGATCCCTTCAAAGGCGTGGGTGTCTTATACAACCAGGCCATTGAATTAAGGGAAGAAAAAAAAACAGGCTGCAGGAAATATTCTCTTAGTATATTTTTATACATCCTGAAAAAGATGAGTCTCTTCATATTTGACATGAGGAAACCAATGTTTGAGTATCAAAACACATTTGAAAGCTGGTGTGAACATGAACGATACAATTCACAAATTTCAGCCTTATATTAAATTGTATATTTACTGCCCAGTCAAAAGTCACTGAATGGCCGGGTTACACCTCCATCCATCATCAATAGATTTTTTTTTCTTCCCTGTTGGCATGGGCATATTCTAGGACAATAATGCCAAGACTCAATGGGTTCAAATTGTGGTTCAGGGAGCATGAGGAATCATTTTCACATATGACTTGGTCACCACAGAGTTGTGCCTTAACCTCATTGAAGGTCTTTGGGATCTCCTGAAGGAGGCTTTATGGAGTGATTCAACTCACTTGTCAATACAGTATCTCAGTGAGAAATGAATGCAAATCTGAATGAAAATAAAGGGTGAGATGTTGCATAAGCTTGTAGAAACAATGCCATGACAAATGTGTGCCATAATCAAAGCTAAAGGCGGTCCAATAAAAATTCAAATGGTGACATTTTTTGGCCGGGCAGTGTATTTCGTACATCTAGTTTATTTGACTCTGTAAGAAGTTAATTGTCAGCATCTTGATTTAATACAGGAGATATAGATTGTTAACGTATCACTAACAGGTTCCAAGGCAGCATGACAGCCAGACTGACTGTCTGTCTGTCCGTCCGTCCGTCCATCCATCTGTCCCAGCATGGCCGTCGCGTGATGTCAGGTCCACAGCTTTCCTACTGGGGTTTGTGTTTCTTGACTGCTGTGGGCCTGAAAGCCTGCGATGTTCTCCCAATGCACAGTTAATGTTCAAGCCATAACCTTAGGTCACATCTACTTAATAAATACTCCTATTGACCATCCATCTTCGGACTCCTTATCCTGGTCCGGTCACGGGGGCCTGGAGCCTATCCCATGCTGGGGGACACCCAGGACGGCATGCAAATCCATCACAGGGCACAGATACAGACACACACAGAGCAAGGGAGGTGGGGGTTATCCACTTGGCCACCCACTTCCAAATAATGCTAATCATGCCTACCCAGTATATAGGGTAGTGTGTGGGTAATTGAGGGTTTTTCTGGGTGACCTGAAGGTTGTGGGTTCAAATTCTGTGGTCAGATAATAGTTTTATTGCCCTTAGGATCATTGAGCAAGGCTCCTAAACCCCTCTGAAATACCCCAGGGGCACTGGATTCAATTCAGTATCAATTGAAACTATGGGGTATGACTGCTTTATTATACTGGTCTGTTTGTTTGTTTATTGTTTGTTTATCAGATGCTTTATTGTTTCTAATGTGTATACTGTTTTGATGTGACACTGGAGAGGATGCACCTTTAAATTTTGTCGCTGTGGAAACAACAATGACAATAAAGCATCTGAATCTGGATAAACAGCTGACCCTGCACTCATACCTCAAGCTGCACTCTTACCTGTATACATGTGTGTGTCTTATGGGAAAAGTAAGAAATCCTATGCAGTCATACCAAAGGCAAATGAAGTTTCATTTCATTTCATTTCATTTCATTTAAAATGCTCAACATACACAGCACCCAAAAATATGAGTAGGCCTGCCACGTCAGGCTGCTGCATTTGTCCAGACACCAACTTTTCGGTATTATACAGCCACAATTTGATAAGCAGACAAGCAGATTGCATAAAATATTAGTAATCTTTATATATTCAATGTATCCTTATAATATTCAATTAGTGGAGCACGGCACAAACCTGTTTTGGTAAATCAAGGAAGCAATAAGCGGAAGTGGAGGTAAAGGAAAGGACAGCTGAACAACCACAACATCTTTTGAAAGGGAAGATATTGTGGATAAACAAGGTAAAAGGACATCAGTGGTGTGGCGGTGCTTTTTGCAGTTTAAAGTTGCACGTTTATTAAACATAAGGATACATCAAATTTATACTGATTAACTTTTGGACGTCACAATATGCCTCCCATTAACATTTAAGGAGTGCTACTAATCTGCTTACCAAATAGTGGCTGTACATAAATGTCCATATAGTTCCGGAAAACTGGTGTCCTGACAAATTTTACACTCGTCATCTGAAGCCCTGGTGATTTTTGCACCATATAATCGACATGCGTTATCATGCAGCCCTATTTGTGTAGTAATATTCACACCTTCATTAGCAAAAAGTGTATGGTACAGAACGCTGGACAGTCATCATAAGACAAAAACCAAGAACTAAACAAAAACAAACAAAAAATATATATTACTCAACACTGTGTCAATTGAGAATCCATAATCTATGTCAAAAGCAGATGAGGGGCTCCTACCTCGTCCCATAATCGATGACCACCCAGTCCTTCCCAGTTCCTGCGATGGCATCGTGGTGCTGGAAGAGTCCCATGTTCCGCCTGGCCTCTGTCAGCAATTTGTAATTTTCAACAGAGGGGAAATCGTTTAATCTGTCGTGCTTCTTAAGGCTTGATAGGGCGAAAGAGTACAGGATCTCTGCCGCCCTGTGAAGGAAGGAAGGAGGGGAGAAGGGAAAAAAAGATAGATTATGGGAAATAACACAGCACAAACACCATTACTATAACGACCGTGGGAGTATAAAGATGAAGCTGGACCGATAAAATTTTGTTGCAGAAAAGCAAAGCATGGTTAGCCCTTTGAAAGTACCTGTAATAACCTGTAAGAAACCTACAGACTTGTCAGACGACTCACATACTTTCAATATATGTATATCACACTAATCCTACGGGGGATGACCTTAGCAGTACAAAAACACAAAACCAATTTTTTGTTCTCTAAAACTTGAAAAAAAGAAAAACACCTAAGTTATATGCTTAATTCCCTGATTGAGCTACTGTACAATATTAAAATAGCAATGACAGCAATGTTCAGAAAAAAGGACTGTGGAATGTTTCAGACAAGCTGTTGCATTGGGGTTCTCTGCATGCATTTGAAAGGTTACTTATGGAGACTATTCATCTGAGATAGTTCAAATACAAAGGAATGCTTGAAAACGCTAAGTCCAGGGCCTGCAGGCATTCTTCAGTTGATTCCAGTTGGAAACACCGCTCAGAGACATTTTAAACCAGCGAAATATTTGGACATTTCACAACATCTATTTGCCACTTGCAATCACTGCGAGAAAACAAAGTTCAATATATCAAAGCACAGAGAGAACAAAGATCCACTGAATAAGCCAAACAAAGGTGGAAACGCAGGAAAAACAGAAGCTGCTGTCAGGTCTGGAAAGCTGAACTGCAGGGAAGTTTTCATTGTAGCACAATATACGAACACTAGCAAACACAATGTGGAGCACACATTAATTTTCTCCCCTTCTCACAGGTGGGGGGTGACTAGGTGACTCCAATGTCCCAGAATTATGGCAGTAGATGGCAAAACATCAAGCAAGTATGAGATGAAAACCTGACAGAAGTTCTTCTCATACGAAGACCCAGCTGCCTGTTTCATAGTTAGATTTCCTGAAAAAACTAAGATGCAGTTTCATGTAGTAAAACTCCACATACAAACAAACCTGGTCTGGACTAGGACTGATCTAAAAGCATAGAGCTTGTGGCTAGGAGGAATACTGACAAGTGCTCACAGAAAGTCTTGGGATGCTTGCTTAATTTTATATTTTTTTTTCATATTTATTAGTTTCACCACAGAAGAATTCCACTGACAAGCAATGTTTAGCATATCAGTACATATCTCACAGACATTTTCTTTTTATTAAGTGTCAATGTTTTTCACTGACTCATTCAGTTCAGCTCTTGCCATTGTAATAGTTATAATAATAATAATCAGTTTATTAATTTATGATTTTACATCTCCTCAACTTGCTCTTTGTAAGCAAATGGCAGTGCCCATGGGTGTTGAGGGTCTTGCTCAAGGATCCACAGATGTGCTGAGGGTGCCCCTAAATTAATTTTGCTATTAATTGTATTCATTCACTCCCATAGTTACCAATTTTTGTATTTTATGATATTGCAAAAGTGTCACTAATTAAAAAGCCCCCAATGAGACTTTTTGTCAATGATCTTAACTCAGAACAGCATTTTGAGAACTATGATTTGGGTTTCAGTTCATTACTAGTTGCACTAGAGGTGGAAACGACTATTGGTTGTTTCTAATGTGATATTCATTTGTTTAAAATGTAGTGATTTTTGTTAGAAAACTAATAAATTTGAAATATTTTTACCAAAGTAAAAAAGTGTCCCAAGACTTTCTGTGAGCACTATTTTTGTCAAAGTTTATTAGCACATTTATAGAAAGTCACATCAAAATGATCAGTGAGGTATTTTAAAACAGACAAGTATTGGGGTATTGACCACTCTAATTTCCTTTTCATTGTCCTTCTTGTAAAATCTTGACAAAAGCTCACAGTTACACTGATTATCAATTCTATCCCCTATCAAATTCAAAATCTTGCTACATCACTTCAGAGCAGTACATGGGCTTGTTCCCCCCTACCTCAGCGATCTCCTAACCCCTTACTCTGCCCCTCGCTCCCTCAGCTCATCTAGCTGTAATCTCCTCCATTCCCCTTGCACCCGGCTTCTCACTATGGGTGGCGGGGTCATTCAGAGCCATTGCCTCTGGAATCCTCTTCCTCAATCTTTCTTTGACGATTCCTCATTTTCTACTTTTAAATTTGACTTAAAGACCATTGTTTAACAAGCATTTGTCTTACTGAACTGCTTAGATTTTTTCCCCCACACCTTCTCATAAAACGACCTTGGGTTTGTGAAAGGCACTATATAAAAGTAATTAATTATTAATAATAATAATAATAATATTATAATAATAATAATAATTATTATTATTATTATTATTATTATTATTATTATTTATTACTACTACTACTACAATTTCTAGTCAAGTCCACATAAACTCAAATTGTACATGTATAAACAAAAAACCAACAAAACAAATGAAAACAATCTATGAAATCATGACAATATGATGAAATCACTTTGTGGTGGTGATAAAAAAAAATCCAAAAAATCCACTCATTTATCAAAATTAAGCAAAACAAATGAAAGTAAAAATGAGACAAATCTGAAGTTTTACAATCAGAAAAGCTGTCAAGATGTTTTTTAGGCCAAGTACATTGGAACGTTCCCGCCTGCATCTACAGCCTGGACTAAGGCAACGATAAATAAGAAAGAAGTCTTAGGATACCTTACACTTCAAACTAAGGGTATAACTAATTTCTGGTTGCTACTGGCTATTACGGCTTTAAAAACCACCAGAGATGGAAAGTTCAAGTCCCGAAAGTAAAAATCCAGACCAAGAGTTTGTTCCAACCAGTTGAGTACTGACTCTGATTCAACTGGTTGGTTGAAACAAAATCCTGGTCTGGATTTTTACTTTCTGGACCTGAACTTTTCCCCTGTGAAAGCTACAGGAATTTGCGCTTCTAATCACAAGGTCACCGTTTCAAACCCAGCCTCAGCATGTCTGCAGGACCTTGAGCAAGACCCTCAACCCCCAGCTCCCTGGGCACCGCTACGGGTGGCTGCCCTTCACGGACAGCTTACTCTACAAAAGAGCAAGTTGAGGGAGGCATAAAGACAATTTCCCCACGGGGATCAATAAAGTATCGATTATTATTATTATTCACCATCGGGGCCCTCGTCTAAAAAAATGAAACTGGCACCCGCCTATGCAGCCTAATGGAGCGATTGGCACTGCCCATAATAAGCGAGAGGGATGAGTTCTCCTTGGTTATAAAACAAAATGTACAATTTTGCAGCTGTTATGGAGGGAATGGCAAACTCAGTCTTGCCCGGGGAAAGGTTCAAGCTACATATACTAATAATCACAAGGAGGCTTCCATTGCAGAAACTTACAGAACCATTCGGATACATGGGATACACAGATGCACATAATCAGGCAGGAGAGGAGCTATACAGCACATCAGCAGCCCCTGGGGTCCTAACCAGAACCGTAGAGACACACACCCCCTTGGGGGTGGGGGCTCTCTCAAAAGTCACAGCTGAGGTCTGCGGAAGCATCTGGACACACACAGCTTAGAAAAGGTGACGAAAATGCTGCCAGTGACAACTTTAATGTAAACAGGAAAAGGGTAGCGGACATGCCGCATGCAACCCTCTCAGTTCCCCGTGACGGGTCTCTCTCAGGGGTGTAAACCACAAGTCACACCGTATAGCCTTGCTGCGTTCCATTTCCATTGCTGACCTGCCCCAGCCTGCGGTCTGCTTTTGTATTAACCGATCAAGGCATGCAGCTCCCTTGTCACGTGGCATCAACACAAACCAGTGAGGCACGAAAGGTATTTAACCACAGGCTTGAGTGAAGGTTCTGGAACTTCTGCTCTATGATGAGGAAGGTAGCTGATGATCTGAAAAGCCCCATTCCATGGTACGTCCTGAAAAATCAGTGCATGATGCACAAGCATATACGTCTCCTGCATGTTACCTATCCATCCATCCATCCATCCATGAACTGCTTCTCCTAGACATATTGTGCTTTATGTTAAACATTGGGTGTGAGGATAGGGTACAAAACACACTAATACACAGTATTTTCATCCATAGAGAATGAGCAGCTACAAAACAGGATTTTGTACATTGTCTTTCTATATTAGATTCCCAAAAACATTTGGAAACATTATCGTCTATGCTGCGGCTATATGGCACACTGCATGACTTGCCTGATATGTCACACTGCATGACCTGCCTGATATGTCACACTGCATGACCTGCCTGATATGTCACACTGCATGGCCTTCCCTCGGCTGTCTGCAGCCTGCAGCTCATAGACACTGGAAAATGTCAGGATCTTCTCGCCGATGCTCTGTCAAACCTACATTCCAGCCATCTTTTGCTCTTTTTCCAGACTTCTCTGTTTATCTCAAATGTTCCGAACACTTCTGAAACACTTCTGTTACTCTCCTGAGAGTTATGAGTAGTTTACATCATGTCCGGCTCCCTCTGGCACTTTGGCAACTTCGGAAGAGTGCTATACAGTGGAAATGACAAAGTTACCCTTTAAAGTCTACAGAATTTTTGGGTCAGCATGTTTCCATTGCTGGGCACACCAATGCATCAGGATGGTATCAGCGGGTCAGGGATCTGTTCCTGTGTTAGGAAGGTTGTGGGTTTAAATCCCATGGCTGGCAGCTAGGCCCCTAGAGAAAGGCCCTAAACCCCCAAAGCTCCAGGGGATTCGGCTGCTGTGCAGTAACCTGAAAAATCTTGCCCTCACCTGTAAATACGTGTGATTGTGTTTCTCATGATGCGATATGAGAAAATGGCTGCACTGCCCCACAGGTATGGCTGTACCTGCATGGGAAGGTTCGACTACCTGCCAAGTGCCTGACAGCGCAGACTCCGATCAGGAAGCACAGAGCAGCCGCGGACAGCTCTCTCGCATGTGGACGTGGACTTGGGGCCAAAACAGGGCCGACTGATCAGACACAGCTGTGAAGCCAGCTGTCAGACTGCTTACGGCACCCCGATGTGGGAAGGTGATACATACA